GTCACAGAGGCTATTTGTCTTTATTTTCAATGAAATAGCTAGCATGATTTTTACTAATATTCTTTTGTTTTAATTTTGGTGTCTAAGTTAAATATGGAAAAGCACTAACTCAACTAATTATTGTGCCTCAAGGAAAAAATTTTCTCCTAAGACAAATGAAAATCTACACATAGAGCTAATAGTTTTCTTCCCTTTTTTGAACATAAAATTTCATAATACATATTCTGCTCTTCCTTTTTGGGATATGCAACTGTAATACTTTTTTATTATTCCTTCGTTTATTCTGAAATGGCCTGCCCTTTCCTGGGTAGAATGTGAGTTAGAGGATGTAAATGAGAATTTGTGAATGCAACTGTGGATGTATTCTAATTTAGTACAAAATGGGGAACTCTTGCTAAGACTTTTAAGGTTGAACCTGTATCCTTCTCTGTTTTCTGGTACTGCATCTTCACTTTCCCTTTTAACATTATTGCGCCTTTTAATCTTTCTAGCCTGACAACTGAGACCAGCAATCTTTTGACCAGCACAAGGTTATAAACTACTTGAGTCTCAATGTTAATTCTCTTGCTTTCATTTCTTATTTTATTTTATTTTTTTCCAGCTTTAATTGAGTTTATTGGTACATTTTAGGGATACAGTACAGTTACATTCATTGTTGGGATCTTGTACCTCTACATGACAAGTCTTGGTTCTCATTTTTTCCCCTTGTCCCTGCCCTCCCTTCATCCCCTCCTCCCCTCCCCATCTACAAACACTTTATTTCCATCTTTTCATTATCTCACATTTTTTTCTTTTCCCTTATTACCCTTCCCCTACCCGTCCCACCTTCCCTACACCTTTAGCCCCTTTCTTCCCATTTCTCAATGTCAGTAATCTTATTAGGATCTTATGTATTATTGCAGATTATTCACACCAGAGAAACTATTCGGTATTTACACATGTGCCTTATTTATTTCACTTAGGAGTATATCTTCAATATGTATCCATTTTCCTGTGAATGAATCTATTTTCTCATTCTTTATGGCTGAGTAATATTCCATTTTATAGAAAAACCACATCTTTATCCAGTTTCCAACTGATGGGCAAATAGGTTGTTTCCAAGTTTTAGCTATTACAAACTGTGCCGCTATAAACATGGATGTGCATACTTCTCTGTGATATGCTGATTTCATTTCTTCACTTTCTTCACTTGTGTTTGGAGACCAACACGTAGTTACTGAAGAGTCTGAAAGAGCATTTGGCGGAGGCTTTACTAGCAAACAGTTAAGACCACATTTAACCATTTCCTGCTTAATTGTTGCGGGCAAACTGGGAAAAGATAAGGACCATGTGGGACCTGAAGCATGCAAAAGTATTTAAAAGGAAGCAGAAAAGCTGTTTATATTTCAGATTACTCTGGGTAGACAGGTAGGCATCCATGTAGAATGTTAACATTTGGAGAATCTCAAAGTATATGGAATTTTAGTGTTCTTTCCTGTATTTAGTAGGTTTGAATTTTTCAAAATGGATTGTTACCAAAAAAACTGCAAATAACCAGTGATATTTTTTTCCACATTAAAAGTGAAGAATCCTTTGGTATTAATGTCATCCATTCTTTGGTTCCTTCTTCCCTGATGCTCAGCATTAATTGTACTTCAGGAAGGACCAAGTTGAACAAGCATGTCTAGTAAGGAAAGACCATTCTACAAATCATCAAAGTAGCTTTGTTTATTTGCAGCTCTCTTCATCACATCTAAGTTATCCATTTTATTTTTTCAAGTTTGAAATTTCTTTTCCATCAACAAGTCAAATTTGGGTTAATTACGCCAACTACACAATCTTACATAGAATCTTTTCCACTTCTCAAAACTGTTGAGTTATGACCGTATAAAACTGCAGTGCACTCCTGCACTGCTTAATGCTCACATTGTAGGAAAAGTTATTTTTAAAAAGTTGTAGTAGTAGCCATAAGGGATGTCACTGACTCCGACACAGGGCCTGATGTGTAGTAAGTCCTTTGTGACTATTTTTTGAAAAAGCAAAGAATGAATTGATGACAAATGTTAGTTACCGACCACCTGCCAAGCCTTTAGACTAAGGACTTACTGTTTTGCCCGTGGAATTTCAGCAGTTTCATCTGAGTATAGGTTCTGTTGTTATTCCCCTTTTACAAAAGGGAAACTGAAGCTTAGACATCCAGTAGGCAGGTGGCCAAGCTAGGACTCGAATTGGATTCTTCTCATTTTAGACGTCACCCTCATCTAATTTTAGTCACCATACTCCTACTTTCAATAATAGCATTTCTACCTATAAAAGTTTTCCCTTTTCTGTAAGAGAATGTTTGAGGGGACGTTAAGTTAGTCTAATTTTAAATTAACCTTGGCTGGCAAGAAGGATCTGTTGAACTGAATCTGTATTGTTCAGTGTGATAGCCATGCTAGCCACATATGGCTACTCACATTTAATTGTTAATTAACCAAAATTAAATTTAAAATTCAGGTCCTCAGCTCTCCTGGCTACATTTCAAGTTTTTAATGTCCACATATAGTCAGGGTCTACCATAGTGGACAGGACAGAAAGGGAAAAGTTTTCTCATTACAGAAAGGTCTTTTCTACAGCGTTACAGAGATTCCAGAGTTTTTAACTGGAACTCCTCTTCTTCCCACCTGCATGTTTTTCTTCCAGAACAGGGGATTAAATCCAGAGCTTTTACACTGAGTTACACCCCTCCGCTCTTTATACACGGTCTCCAGAAGTTACCCAGGCTGGGCTCCAACTTGAAATATTCCTGTCTCAGTCTCTCAGAGTACAGAAATTACAGGCATGTACCACCATGGCTGGATAGGGTTTTCTTGGAGGGGTGATTGAACCCAAGGAGTTATAACTCTAGTAAAACCTTGTGGAAAATAGGTTCCCTTGTTGTCATAGTTTTCAAACAGTAGTACTCTTATTTTTGGGATTTTATCAACTTGGTTACAGTTATGTTTTTGTAATAATTTCCTACTGGCTAACAAATTATGATGAAGATGAAAATATTTGGAGCATATGTAAAATATTAAGCACTGCTAAAACAAGAAGACAAATATTTATAAAGCAAATGGCTCTCTATGATTAGAAATTATTTTACTTTGTTCATCAGTATCTCAGTGTCAGAGGCACAGAGGAGAAAAATATACTAAAATATATTAAAGTATAATTTTTAATAAACCATTTTATTATGTTTTTGGTACCAGGGATCGAACTCGTACCCTTGGGCTTGCAAGGCAGGTGGCAGAACCTCTGAGCTAAATCCCTGGCCCTTAGTAAACCATTTTAAACAGAAAGCATGGACTTAAAAAAAAAAAATGATCCCGGACGGGGAATTTAGCTCAGTGATGCTGCCGCCTGTCTCGCAAGCAGAATGTCCTGAGTTACCCAGTACCAAAGAAAAAAACCCAAAACAAATCAAAACAAAAAGATCCAGGATTTTTTCACACAGATCTCATTCAGAAATTTATAAATGGGACATTTAATCATTTGATTATTTATAGAAACGTTTCTTTAATCCAGTTTATAAATTTTCCTGGACCTCTCTTATTATGGCCTTTGCTTAAGTTGGAAAGCACAAACCCTGAAGAACTGTACTGTTTAGGGTCACCTTGCTCATTTGCCACCTAAGGAGATGTACTAGCCGCTCTGAGACCATCCCTAGTATTTACATCCTGTGATTCATAGACTGTGTCAGGGGTCAGAGGTCTGCTTCCTGGAACTTTGGCCATTTTTATCCATTGGAATAGGCATGGAAATATAAAGTTGAATGAGAGGATTTACAGAAAAACTTAAATCTATATATAACCTACTATTTGCCCAAATGAAAAGAAAAAATGAACAGTGAGGTTATTTAGCCCAAGAAAGAGAAGGCCTATGGCTTGATTCAGTATTTGTTTATTAAAAATTATCTAAAGAAATACTTCTCATCTTCAAAAAAGTTGTTATTTTTCAGTTAAAAAAATGCTTATCTAATGTCTGTCCTGCTGTTACTCCCAGACTCTCTTTAAGAGTAATGTATTTTGATAAATATTTCAGCCTCAGTGCCTCCTTAGAGCCAGAATATAATGAAGCATTCAGTCAGCACTTACAAAATGAATAAAGAAATGAAACTTCATCATATAAAAATAATTATTTCTGACACAATAAAAGTTGTACACCTCAGCATGTATCTGTGGTTAGTGTACCATAGTCATCCTTTGTTTTTCCCTGAAGAGAGGGGTACTAATCAAGGAGGAATGGTTTACCAGTTGCTATAGATTTTTGCTGCTGGAAGTTTTGTGTTATCTGGAGAATGTCATATATCCCAAACATATGTTTAATTAAATAATAGGATACAAATAAGTGCATATAATAAAAATGATCTTTAAACTGTAATTTTGGTTTGACTTCAAAATATGACTTTTTCAACAAGATTGACTTTCCTGTTTTTTTATAACAAATGATTGGCATTCTTTGGAAGCCTTACTTAAATGGGTTTTTCTTTGGATTCAAAAATGGCCCTAGAGGAATTTAGCTCAGTGGCTCCACCACCTGCCTCGCAAGTGCAAGGTCCTGAGTTCGATCCCCAGTACAAAAATGAAAAAGAAGAATGGCCCTAGAATTATCTTTCTGGAAAATATATGTATATGAATATATATAGCACAATTGGCATTTGTTAGATATGTTAGAGCTATTTGCATTTTTTTGTGTGTGTGATACAAATTTAGAAATGTACTTTGTTGGATTTTTAGAAACATGATACATGATATATTGTGTTTTATCTGACCTTGTCTTTATAGAGTGTAAGTTCTTGTTTAGTACTTTATATCCAAAAATATGTTTAGTATGGTGGGCACTCAATAAGTGCCATAATTAAAAAGCAAGTACTTTTCAGTAAGAGGCCTGTTGGAGCCTAATCTTATTTGTAGGTTACTTATTTTCTAGGTTAGCTAAAATAGTCTTATTAATTGTTAGTAATTGAAAAATTATATCTTATTTTTCTTTTTTTCCAGGAAGAATCTCCAGCACAAGATAGAGTATAGGCACAGTATACTTCAGGGTAAGTAATTCTACTTCAGAGAAACTCAAAAAGAAACCCTCAGTGATTCTCCTGTTCAACCTTGTTACACTTTCCAGTTATTATAAAAATGTTTTTTAACTCTACATCTGTGAGTGTGTTGAATTGCTGGCTTTAGTGACTATTTTTACATTTAAAAAACTGCATACCTTTTATGCAGCAAATGTGATCCCCAGTCATCATCTTACAATACAGAATTTTCTCTGTATCTGTTAGATTTCTTTTGTTTGCAAGTGTCTGAACACAAAATTTCAAAGTAGTCTAAGTGATGAGAACTCATTGCCTTCTATAACTGAAAAGTCCAGAGGTAGGGCTGGATTTAAACAAGATTTATTTCTTTGGCTCATTAATAATGTCTACAGTATTGCCCAAAGGCGCAGTTTCCTATCATCATTCTGTCTTTAGAGAGGTGTTACCATTCTAAGGCATTGTCTCCTATCTAAAAGACTAAATGCACCTTTATTGAACACCCATGTTTACATCTAAGGAGAGAGTGACCATCGTGATTCCTAGGAAAAATAATGAAATTTATTCTTTTTACTAGCTGTGATTGCATTCTTGCCTTGAACTAATTATTGTGGCCATTTTGTTGAACTGGGCAGAGTCAGTTTCATCAAAAAGAACCACAGGGATCCCCAATAGAAACTAAACTTTGGAGAATAAGAGAAGGAGAAGGGACAGGCATCAGATATCCATCTATTCTCTTTACATCAATCCATTTTTACCTTGTTTCTCCTGTTTCTCAACTCTACTATTTTTCCTTTAACAACTTCTTTGTAACATTTATATAATGCAGAAACCAGTTCAACGAACAATATCTCTGCCCTCAAAACGAGAGAATAAAACACATACTATTGAGTCTATACTCATTCACAATTCTATGTACATATATAAAACTCACTTATAGTAGAGCGATGAGATTAACTTCATAGTAGGATAATTCTGCTTGATATTTTTTATTGTAACTTTAGTGCTTTAGTACTCTAGACATAAATACACTCCATCTAAGTTAATAGATATGTTTCTATTTTAAAATTTAGATCTTGTATCCATTTTGAATTTTTATACAGCAGGCAGTGCTGTTGCAAGTTTTATGCAAACTGCTCATTTCATCACTTAAAATCCAGATGCCTAGATACCATGCTGTATGTTTCTGCTTGCCCAGTTAGGGAGTTCATGCATAGAGGTGATTTTTCCCCTTCTTGCTTTTAGTGTATATTTCTTATGCAAAAAGCACTAATTTTTATGGTAAAGATAGTCATTTTAGTTTTAGATTAGGTGGTAGTCACATTGATTTCAGAGCCCTGATTCCTGAAATTGTTCCCTTGATTCAGGAAATCTTATAGTAATTTAGACTGACAGTTTCACTGGATCAGTGTATATGTTTTATTACCCCAAGGCTCACTGAACACTGATGAGCAGAAACTAATGTTTCTCTAAAACCATCTTCACAGAACTATGATCAATTTAAAAACAGGAAATACCCATGTAGATAACAATTGCAAATATCTGAAATTGATGATCGAATCTACTGCAAGAGAGTTTATTATTATTATTCTTTGGCTTCCACAAAAGTAATAACTTGTTAGCATTTAAATCCACATTAAGTATCTATAGGGAGCTGAATTCCAGGGAGTCTTAGGTCATTGTTTTGTTTATTCAGTAGAAACACAGTTAAAGTACTCATTCTTGTGAAGTAAAGTGGATGAAATTTGACTACTAGCTATACTGAGTTTTGTTACAGATAGTTTTGTTAGATTCTGGACTTCCTATTAAAAGAACATAAATATCAACTATAAACAATAATATATAAAAATATTTTTTGAGGAAACAATTGAGATTCTTCTGATGAAAAGGCCTTACTACCTCAATGAGAGAGACTGCTCAATAAATTGCTAAAGATTTCTAGTGTTCACTGAAGCTTGAAGTCCCTTCACATAGCTAGATTTAAGTAAAAGTTTCTTCCTAGGTAATTATATTGATAGGCAGGCTGGTGATCAGAGGTGTAAACTGAAAAAGTTTCTGTAAAACAATTGTGTTCAACTTGCAAATGTTTCATTCATCCATTCATATATTCAACAAATGTATATCAGTTGTCTTCTACATGTTAAGCACTGGTGTAATAGCTGAGGGTGCAATAGATGCAAAAGCCTGCCCATGTAGAACTGCTACAAGTGTGGCCAGTATACATATATTACATGATGTCATGTGGTGATAATTGTTAAGAAGAAAAACAAGTCTTTATAAAAACAGAATAGCAAGAGTGAGGGGGTGAAGGGAGGGCAGAGGTAAGGGGAAAAAATGAGAATCAAGACTTGCCATGTAGAGGTACATGATCCCAACAATGAATGTAACTGTACTGTATCCCTAAAATGTACCAATAAACTCAATAAAATTAATAAATTAAAATAAAAAAAGAGTGTGGGGGAAGGAAGTACCATCTCCCATAGAATGGTAAAAGATGCACTGTCTGATAATTTGACATTAGAAAAGAAACCAGAAGGAGGGAGAGCAAGCCAGGTAATCATCTGAGGAAAAGTATACCAAGGAGTGGGAATAGCAGGTTCTAAAGGTCTGCACATAGGTGAACATCCTTATACTCTTCTAAGAGCAGCAGAGAGCAGATAGAATTGGAACAAGGAGAGTAAGTAGAGAGTGGCAGGAAATGAGCTCAGGAAAGCTAGCGGTGGGCCAGTTGTGTAGGGGCTTAGAAGCGAAAACCTTGAATTAAGGACTTCAGAATTTATTTAGAGGGAGATAGATAGCTGTTGCAAAATTTTCTGGCTTCTTTGTGGAGAAAAAACTAGAATGGTAGTAAGGAAGCCAGGTAGGAAGACATTGCATCCAGGAAGAAGATGATAGAGTTTGAACCAGTGTTATAGTGGATGTGGTAAGATGTGGTGAGTACACTTCAAAGATAGAACCAAAGGGTCTCTTGACATATTGCACTTGGGTTTTCAGTAAGGGGAATTCAGGGTGACTCCAGCCAGAAAATTGGAAGGTCATAGGAGTCATATTGGAGACTAATGAAAGAATGATCAGATTTGAGTGCGGCAACTCAAGAATTTTGTTCTGGGAGTTTAGGTTCCAGATGCCTGTTAGTCATCCACATGGAGATAATACATGGGCAGTCAGATAAATGAGCCTGGAATTCAGGGCTGTGGGTCAAGGCTTATGATATAAATTTGGAGATTTAGGGTACTAAACTGGATGGAGTCATGTAAGGACTGGGTTAGAGAAGAGGTCCCAGCCTGAAACAAGGGCATTCCAAAATTTAGAGATTGTTAAGGGAAGTCCAGCAAAGGAGACCGAGAAGGAGCAGCCAACGAGACAGGAGGAGAACTTAAAGTTGTTTCAGCTTTACATCTGTTTTTCATATAAATCCTTTAAGATAATATCTGAATCTAAAAGGAAACAGTCTATTGAGATGTCATTAGCACATACTTTGGTGGTCATGTACAAGCGCATCTTACAAAAAAAATTTATATTAGGTACTTCTGAGGAGAAAATAGACAAGAACAGAGGTTGATGTTCTGCTCTTTTTGCTCATTTTCCCAACTTTCAGCTACCTGGAGTCCCAAGTATTTCTTAAACCATTTTGCCATTTTTTGAAATGGGAGATTGAAATTAGCTAGAAATAAAACATTTCCTCAAGATGTTTGCAGGGAGGTAAAGATATGTGAACTGATAAGAGTACTGCAAGATTTCCCTTATGGAACTGATGGACTTCCTGTGTTATGCTAATAAGAATGACCTATTAGGTATCTTTTTAAGGCTCAATTACCAAAAAACTTGGGAAGGAATTTGATGCTTAGTTTATAATTATGTTAAAAATTGAGGTTGGAACTTGTATATTTTGCTCTTTATGTTCTTAATTTCTACATTTATTTGAATTTTATTACATAATTTTTAAACTCAGCTATCTCAAATCCTCTTTAGAATAAGCAGTGATATGTTTTGCATGGTAGACCTTTCTTGAGTTCCCAGCAGACTTTAATATTTTTAACCCATATGTCTGCTGTTCATCAGGGTTTGTTCACTACTAAGATTTCCAGGTGAAATCTTCCTGGTTGGTTAAAAAATGTTCCATATCAGCCTAGAGCATCTTACACCTTAATTTCAACTAGCTCTGCTGCTCATTGTGGAAAAAAACATAAAAGAGAGTGTAGGGTAAGGGATAAATTAATTTGGAGACAGAAGAATTCATTCATTCATATATATGTATGTGTATATATATATATTCTAGTGGCTGTTACTGTGAGTCTTATTGAAACATGAGCTGAAAGAAACCTTAGATTCATAATACTAACTTTCCTAGATACCTAAGGTTATATCTTCTTATTTGATTACAATCCTAGTGGGCCAAGCCAGATTTTGCCAGGTTTGCTATGAAAACCCTCCCAAATTTCAGTGCCTTATAACAACAAATAGGGGTATTTCTCCTTCGTGGTGCATCTGTGAGTTGCCTGTGGCTCTGCCCTGTGTGTATTCTCACCCTGGAATCCAGGCTGAGGGATCAGCCCTTATCTGGAACATGCTGTTCATGTGGCAGAGGGGGAAGCAGCCAGGCAGAACCACAGAAAGACAAAGCTTCTGCTTGGAAGTGGGGCACACACTTCTGCTCATGTTCCTTTGGCCAGGTCAGTTCAATGGAGTGTGTGTGTGTGTGTGGTGTTATCACAGGAAGGGGCAGTGAGTAACTGGAACAAATATCCTCTACCACATGGTATTAGTATAGGGTAGCATGATTATGATTATGATTTTACTAAAAAACCATAATTTTGAGTCTTACAGGCCATTTTACCCCCAGAATTTCATGACAAGAAAAGTTAGTATCATAAATAACAAATGATCATTTTACTGCCCTTTTAAAATTTTTGTAGTGTTAAGAATTCTATTGATAAAATGAATTCTTCTCACTATAAAAAGACATTTTATAGTAAACATCTCTAATGTCAGGTTGAATGGCAGTTGATGTGTTGCGTACCAATATTGTACTTGTCAGTGAGAAGCGTTTCAGATGAAGATGATGTTGGACGGCCCAGTGAGTACGACCTGAATGACAGCTTTCTAGATGATGAGGGAGAAGAGTATGAGCCAACAGATGAGGATTCCGACTGGGAACCAGGAAAGGAAGACCAAGCACAGGAAGACGTAGAAGAACTTCTGAAAGAAGCAAGAAAGTTTATGAAAAGAAAAAAGTAACTCTTCCTCTATTCAGTGCACATTTACTTTTTCTCTCTGGAAAAATTTAGGATCTAAGGAGGTACTTAAGTGATTTTCCTTCTTTTGATAGTTGTAACTTTTTCTATTAACTCTTTTCAAATAAAACATTGAAATGTCTGCCTTTAATGTAGCAAGTAGAATTAATTTTGTTACCTTGACTTTTCTTTTTATCTGGCAATAAGAAGCAGACAAAGAGGTTGAGTAATAATTAATATTTTTCATGTACTTTGTATAATGGCAATAAAAAGTAAAAGCCATAGGTTGCACAACACTTTGGTCTTTTTTCTTTTTTTCCCTCAAAGATTCTGTCTTTATAGAGAACTATGCAAGTATAACTGGGTAAATTACATGACAGGTGGGGAGGCAAGATTGCTGTTGTAGTTCTTCAGCCAAAACCAGGCTTTAAAAATGACGGCTATTCTTTTTTCTAGTACTGTACATGTGAACTTTGTAATTTCATTTACTACTTTTATTTTTTGAAACTTGGAGATATTTTTACCAAATCAATACTGAAAAAAATTTAGCTAAGTTATAGAAATGTTCTTCTTACAGGAATGTTATTTTATGTTCCCACATCTGTAATTTACTGTACATCTGAGTTTAAAGGTAGAAAAACTCGAAGAATTTGACAGTTTTTTTTCAAACTAAAGGCCACCCTATTTGTTTAACTGTCATTGTGCCGTCTTTGCACTAAGAATACAAAAATGATTTTAACCATGTTTTCTCAAAAGACATATTATTTATTTTACACTTAGATGAAAGTAGCAAATTGTTTGCCAGGGCTTAAGATTCTGGCCTCTTACATGAAGAATTTCTCCAGTTTTTTAAAGTATATATCCCTGTATTTCTGTTACTAAACTACTCTAGACTTAGTAGTATCATTTTAAGTGACTTTACATTCTTAAAATATCCTTAAAATTTTAATAATAGGTATGTATATAAGTGCATGATGTATATTATTGAAATCACTAATCAGTAACTCAAACACATCATGATTAAACACCAATTTTTTCACTATAGAAACTTTTGCCATGAAAGAGAAAAATAGATTTATAATACTGTTTCCTTAGTGTTTTTAAATATCTCTCCAAGTAATTGAAGGGTATTGAAATTTACTTAAACTGAGGCAAGGTCAGTAAATATTATTCTAAACTATTACCTGTGTTCTGACTATTATTATTTGGGAGCTTATTTTTCCTTTTTTATGTATCTTTAATCTTGGGCTTGACAAACCTGTCAATAAGTGTTTGAATTTATTCTCATTCTGTGCTAAATCCTTAAAGGGTTTTTAATTCACTCCTATGTGTATACTAAAAAGAATTGAAAATGCATCCACCCAATAACTATACACAATGTCCACAGAAGCATTATTCTTAATTGCCAAAAAGTAGAAACACCAAAATAACCATCATCTGATGAATGAAAAAACAAAATGTGTTATATCTGTGAAATGAAATATTATTTGGTCATAAAAAGAACAAAGTACTGATAGATGTCTAAAAGAGACAGATCCATAGAGACAGAAATTAATTAGTGGTTTCTAGTCACCTGGACAGGGAGAATGAGGAGAGACTACTAATGGATATACAGTTAGTTTTTGAGTGGTGAGAATATTCCAAAATTAGATAGGGGTGATAGTAGCACAACTCTGTAAATACATTAAAACCAAAAACACTTCCAAAGGGTGAATTTCATGGTATATCAATTATATATCTCTCTAAAGCTGTTATTAAAGAAATAATACAAAAGGTAACACCTGTATTTTAGGAATAAAAAGCATTTAACACCAAAAGGTATTCTCAGTAATAATAGAGAAATACAGAGTTCATACAGCTGCTTTTCAAGGATAGTATGATGACTTTTTAAATTTTAAATCTATGATGATGGCATTGGGCTATCAGTGGTCTCAGGAGCAATATCACAAACTTGTTTCTTTAATTAATTGCTCTCCTGAACTGAGTAAAACCAGTTCTCCCCATTATGATGTTCATGGAACTTAAACTGTATCCCACCCTCCCTTGTCACTGAAAATGATCACATATTCAACATACATATTTAACACTTACGGGCTTAATTCTAGATGCAGATATTTTTGGTTAACTTTATGAGAGGAGGAGGATCTTCTACACCCTTGGAAAACTGGAGACATCCAGATTTTTTTTCTGTAACACTTGGACCTTGACACTGCTTTCATTGCCAGTTGAGGATGGCCTTGTTGATACTGACTTTGTGTCTAGAACTAGAAAACCTTTGTGGTTGTAAACATTCATCATAAAGAAAGATAGATTCTTCTTTCACCACTGTAAAAGAAGCATAATTCTTCCATGCTGGTGGTGTAATGCTAAGAAAAAATGCATAGGGACTTTTTGTTTTGTTTTTTTTGGGTTTTTTTTGCAACTAAATGGAGCAGAGTTGAGGGACATCAGCCTACCTTGTGCAAAGGGAAATTACACTCCTGCAGACTGCACACAACCCAGTACTGTGAAATATTTAACTCCCATGAAGTTCTCCTGAGTCTGTAATGGTATGTGTGTGCTTGTGTGTGTGGTGTGGTCTCTTCTGCCAGTCTGCAAAACTAACTTGCCAAGCTGCATTACTTCAAAACATCTGGAAAAAAGTGGTAAGTAGTAATTATGGGTGATGTTATTTGCCTAATTTTTTTGCTACTCCAATAGGCATAATAAACTTTATTATCATAGCTATATTTGTAGTTGTGTTCTAGATCCTGTTGTAGGTGCTGGCACTTCAAAGAACATAGGATCCCTGTTTTCACTGTGCTTATAGTCTGGGACAATAGGATATTCATTCATCTCCTTCAAGAATTTGTCTGTCTAAGGCCCTCTTAGACCACTGCAACCTTTCACTTTCCTCCATGTCCCACCCCAACACTTAATCCCCTGTCCCAAGCTGTGTTTTGTCCATAGCACTCACTCCTTAATGTACTATGTAATTTATCTATACTTATTGTTCGTTCTCACTCCACTGGAAGGTAAGCTCCATCAGAACAGGGATTTTTATCCACTTCTTTTACTGATAATCCCTAACGACTGGAATAGTACGGAGAACATAACTGGCATGGCATACATGTTTGTTGAATGGATAGGTGTCATCAAGGTTTATGATGAAAAGTAAGCAAAGAGCAGAAGCAAGAGTGTAGAGTTTTCAGGAAGAAATCATGGAGATAAAAAGTGGTATTGCCATCACTGGAGAAATTCAGAGGTGAATGAATGAAAAGATGAAGGGGTAGAGGTTTGTTTTGTGTTGTATTGTTCTTACAGTGAGAACATGGGACATGCTTTAAGGACAAGAAATCATAGCCTCTAGGGAGTGAGATTCAGAAAGTTGTGAATATTAGGGAATGGAATTTGTACTTTTGTTAACATTTTTAACTTAACAAAATTTACTAAGACAGTGATTCTCAACTTTGCCATTGATCAGAATCCTCTGTGAAGTTTTAAAAAAAATAAATGCCGGGCTCTATCACAGAGTACTGTTATTTATGTCAAATAGACCTTCATGCTCTTTAGTTGCTGGCATCAAGAAGAAGGAGAGCAGGCCGTATGAGACAATTTCATGGATCACTAATGAGTGGCTCAGTGCAGTTCCAAAAATTAGTCTCAAGCACATTTGGAGACGTCTCAAAAGAAAACCGTTCCAGGATTCGGGATTAGTCACAAGACTTCCATTCTTCATGATGCCTAAAAGATGGAAATCCATGAGTCAAAGTAACTGATATTCTCTGAAGCCATAAGATTATACATTTGGGACTTCACCAGCACCCTACATTATTTCGATTTTAAACTCTGTTAGGTGTGAGCTTGACTGATGAGCTCAGCTGCTGGCACAGGTGGCAGCTTCACCACTGGAGAACTTCCTCAGATGACGTGTCATGGGAGCATCAGATTTGTGCAGCCCACAGTGCAGAGCTCATGGGGTGCAGCAAAACTAGAAATGAACAGCAGGACAGGAGAAACTAGCCTAACTCCTTGAAATTTCAGTCTGTCCAGAATAGATTAAAACCACCCTTGTGTTCTGTATGGAAGCACAGACTTGAATGGTGGTTACCAGGGACTCCAGTGGAGGCTGGAGTTGAGGAAATGTTGAGAGGATATAAAGTTTCAATTGAGGAATAAGTTCAAAAGATCTATTGTGCAATATAGTGACTTTAGCTAATAACTGTGTATTGTATTCTTGAAAATGGCTGATATTACTTGATACAAAATTTTTCCCACACAATTTTATAGTGCATCTTTGACCGTTTATGCCTTTTTAGTATGTGTGTAAGCTTTTATTTTTCAGTTGGAAATTTACTTAACATTTTAATATTTACATAATGGCCAAAAAGCTTGCAAATTTTTATTTAATTAATTTATTTTAATTAATTACTGGTTTTATATGTAGTATTCAATTAAAAAAATTTAAAAAGAAAATGGCTGAGATAGACTTTAGTATTCTCACCACAAAAAACATGGTATTTGAGACAATAAATCTGTTAATTCAGTTTAGCCGTTCTGCAATGCATGTTTCAAAGCATGTTGTACAGGATATGCTTTTATTTGTGAAATAAATAAATATGAAAATCTTTCTAGTGGGAAAAATCAGGTGGAAATTAAAAACTATTTAGAGATAAGCTAAATCGTGGATGTAACCTACATGCTCATCAAAAGATAAATGAACAAAGCAAGAAGGATAAATTTTAGTCATTTGTAAGAAAATGGACAAATCTTGAGCCCATAATACTAAGTGTCCTAAGTGGAAACAAGTTAAATATCACGTGGTTTCTCTAATATGAGAAACCTAAAATATAAATATTTTTAAAGCATAATAAAAGATATTTTAAAAAACAGACTCTAGTGATGGGAAGGTGATCTCAGGGAGAAGAGGGAAGGGAAGGTGAGCGAGAGTGAAAAGGTGGAGCATATTTGTCAAGCTCTTGGATGTATCTGTTGGGGTGTGGTGGCATAAGCCTATATAACCACAGTCCTTGGGACTCTGAGGCAGAAGAATTATGAGTTCCAGACCAGTCTGGCTAACTAGATAAATCCTGTTTAAAAATAAAAGTGTATCTCTGGTGTGAAAAAATAAAAGTATAAATAAGGTTCAAATGGTATAATTGAGAGAGTGAAATAGGAAGAAAATGGCTAAAGAGGAAGTGGGAAGGAGAGGGGAAAGGAAATAATGGAAAATAAAAAATGTGAGAAAAGGAAAAATGGAAACAGAGTCTGTAGGGAAGGTTCGA